TGTGTGTGTGTGTGTGTGTGTGTGTGTGTGTGTGTGTGTGTGTGTGTGTGTGTGTGTGTGTGTGTGTGTGTGTGTGTGTGGAGGGGGGGGGAAGGCACTTTAATTAAAGTGGCTCCAAGAACTGCTCTAATTAAAATGCCCAGAGACCACCCAGCCCTGAGCAGCCTCAGGCTTAGGCAATTGCCCCCAGGCTGGGGTTGAAGGGAAGGGGCTGCAAGTGGCAAGGAGCACCTTTACATGTGTTAAGGGAGTGGGGGGACAGCACTTTAATTAGTGCAGCTCCGAGAGCCACTTTAATTAAAGTGCCAACATGTCTCCTGTATCAGTGTCCCCACACTTAGAAATGGTGGTGGGGGCATTTCAACTAAAGCTTGTTTGACAAGTTTTATTGTTAAACATTGGTTTTCGGATCGGTATCAGCTGATATAGCCAGTTAATAATCAGCTATCAGTATCAGCCAAGAAAATCTTTATCGGCGCACCCCTACCCATTATGTCAGTGGTTCTTAACTTTTTTAGATTTGAGGTACCTCTTGTTTGGCTTGAGGCACCCCCCTGAAAATGCCAGCTCTTAAATTTTCACTCTCTTTTTCACTCAAAAAATAACAGAACAACTCATCTGTTGTAAAGAACTCAGAAAGACCACAACAGGTTAGAATGTTTTTAACACTATGAACTCCTATTTGAAATCCTTGGGTTTAATCTGGTGAAACATGTTTGCACACTTGACAGTGCTAACTTGCATGGCACCCTTGAAAGAATCTCAAGACATGCTAGGATGCTGCGGTACCCTGTTTAAGAATCACTTTATTAGGCATTAAGTTATAAAAAATTACAATGAGAGGTCACAGGTGTAATATCTAAAAAACTTCTTTAATTCCAATTAATCAGACACTAGAAAAAACCATGATAAAACTTACCATTATTGTTCCTCCTGTTTGGGTTCTTAGAGGCTTCAGCACCTTTCTCTGAACAAAGAAATTAGGAAGAAAGAAAAGTGGTGGAACTTCTGTAATTGTTGCCACTACAAATGACCACTATAGAAAAAAAGAAAGAATAAATAAAAATTAATTTCTGAATAATCTACTGTCTTAATACCAAATGTTCTGTAATATTCTGTAATGTATTACTATAGCGTGAAAGAATTTGTATGGCTGTAATACACAGGATTCTCTTCCTAAAAAAACAGCAAATGTCTAAGACCAACTACACTTGGAAATCTTTAATATTAACTTCTGAGCAGCTTCCTTTCTTCTAACACCAGCAGGTTTTCAAAACATAATTTATGAGAAATATCACTTTTCTACCATCATGAGAACTAGATTTTGCATTCTTATATTACACAAGAATATTAGTTTTTCAAATAGCTTAATAGCCCTAAAAATATCTAAAATGTTTCTTTAATGGTATTAACAGCTATCTGTGCTTACTACACAATCCAAAGTATTTTTTCACTATCAGAATTGAAGTGAGATAGATCTGAACACAGGACAACAATAGTTATCATGACTACTTTGCATAAATTCAATAGACTAAAGAATTTACCAATTCAAGCTCTGGTAAGATTTATTTTGGTTATTAAACATTCTTGGAATTGGTTTCAAGGCAAACAAAGTACTAAATAATCAGATAATCAAGAATATGATTTGAAGGGTTACTCCTAAAATATTTACAATGCACAGTCTTTTAAAACGCAAAACTTGAAAACGACTTCAAATAATCTATACTAACTGCATAACTAACTGTGCTACTTCCAAATGCTGTATTTCAAAGCCTAAACCATAACTAAGAACAGGGTATGAATTATAGGGCTGAGTCCCCTCGTAAGAGACAAGGGGCCGCCTGTAAGATTTGAAAATCATAACCTAGGGGAGCTCCAATTTTATTAGGGCATCGTGATGGGCAGCCTTTTTTTTGTTTGTCTGCAGCTCCACCCCAAGAATCAAAGTGTAATCTGAACCCTGACTAAGAACATATAACCTCTGCATTTCTAATAACCACCCAACATCCCATCAGGACATTCAGGTAACTTAGGTCTTACAAAATGGACAGATGCTGCATTCTTCAGCATAATGGAAGTTCAGGAAACTACACTTCTATGGCTATGTTATTTTGTGAGTTGTACATAGATGGGATGAATACGTGTGTCATTTTTAACAAAAGAAACAAATATAACAAATTAGGCTCCACAATTACTCAAAATATAACTACTTATTCTGACTCTGGAACTCTCAAATGTCACATGCTTACAACTTCATACAAAATACATCTTAAAGGAAAATTTAAGCAGCTCATTCGGATTTCATAATCCTTTTATAATTTAAAGAAAGTTCCAAGGTGAGGTTCTATAAATCATTCCATATCAGAAAACAGTTGAATTTTCACAATTTAAGCTCTCCATAATTAATATCATAATTACCTTCATTATCATCCTTTAATGTGGCAAGACTTATTAAGATCTTTTTAAAGGCCATTGTAGCTTCTGGATATATGTAACTTAATGAGACAAGTTCTGTCTTACTGCATCTTAAGTGGAATTACAACCTGTCAATTGGGCCAAGTATAAATTCTGGTACCAGGCATAAGATAGTTGGAAAACATAAGAAAATTTTGCAAAAATGTGTTCCTATCTTCCTTTACTTTGTGTCAGCATTTTCCAGCCATCTCTGTTAAAGATACTGTGATGCAGTTTGTAAAGCTCTCAGGGGGACAGTGGCAAAAGTCATTAAGGTATCCGAGGGCCCTGCTACACATTCAAATTAAAGCTGAATAGAAACAAGTAATGGGGTTGTTATACATTTTCAAGCACTAACTTTAGAGCCGGTTGGCTCTTTTTATAGCTAGTCATTTTTAGCATGTGATAATTACTTTGTACATGTGGCTGGTCTAAATTTATTGTGTAGTTAACCAGTTAATTGCATAATATATTTAACATGTAGCAGAGGCCTCATTGTAGCTTCTGAAATGCCAATTTGAGCCTCACTCCAGACCTGTTCCCCTTCAACCCAGCTGTGAATTGGTACCTGATTGTTCAAACTGGAGGTTCAGAAGCCACTGGACATAAACATTAGACACGTCATCATGCATACCCCGACTATGAAAGCTGGTATGCTATAACCTCACTAGCCCAATGAGCCTTTTAGTTTATGTAGACCAGGTGAGACTGACTAATCACTTCATCAATGTAATCTGGTCAAGGAAATGTAGAGCTTTAGAGCACTCGATATTGCCATTCACACAGTGAGAAGAAAAGAGAAGGTTGCGACTAATTTACATAGCAACCTGAAGAGGGGAAAAAAACTAGAAACAGAGAAGAGAGAGTCAAATTAATCTGACTCAATTAATTTGTCTAATATAAATAATAAGTCAACCATTCTATCCTGGGATATTATGACAATGCAGCTGACTCATACCTTTTCATTCATAGGTAAAGCTATTCACAGAACCCTTTCAAGTAATTAAACAACTCTCAATGCATAGCTATATACAATAGGTAGGTAGGTTGGTAGGTTCATTTGAGTCCAATTACCAGAATACTAGACAAACTATGGGTGTGTAAAATAATCCAGACCATAAGGAAAATCTTGAGACCAGAACAACATGGTTGAAGCTTTGGAAAATATGTACTTCATTGAAACAGTTCTTCAAAGGTCATGATCTCAATCAAAACAATTTTCACTCCCTAATTTATAATCAAGCAATGTTTCATAGTTGGTAGGGTTGGAAGGGACCTGAGCAGATCATAAAGTCCGACCCTCTGCCTTGGCAGGAAAAAGTACTGGGGTCAAATGTCCCCAGCAAAGTGATCGTCTAGCCTTGTCTTAAAGACCCCCAAGGTAGAAGCCAGCACCACTTCTCTTGGAAGTTGGTTCCAGATCCTAGCCACCCTGACAGTGAAGTAGCTCCTCCTGATGTCTAGCCTGAATCTACCTTCTGCCAGCTTGTGACCATTAT